CTCACAAACGGTTCACGATATAGTCCGAAGTGGGTTCCCATCGTGATTAGTAAAGACACATACTACGCTCATCTGCGAAGATGGTTCGAACCCACGTGCAGGTAGGAAGGTCCGCACCTGTTGAAGCACATTCGCCTCTCGCAAATACGCGGAAGCGAAGCTGGAGCTTGTTGAGGGACCGGAAGTTGCTACATAACTCCATTGCCCATCACGCCACAGACACGTAACACGCCGCACGACCGGCCATGCATCTCGGCCTTTTTTACCGGACCTAGTAATTGTCTCCACCCTCTGTTTAGCTGGGGCGTCGGGCCGAAAAAACTGAAACGTTGGACCGGTCGCGTGGCGTGTTGCATGCCTGCAGCGTTATGTGCGCTTGAGGTTATGGAGCAACATCAACAAGCTCCACCTTTTCTCGCGCGCATTTCCGGGCGGTGAAAGTAACACGCATCTCCAGGTCTTTTGACCTCGTACATGGGAAGTATCTATCTCATAGGTGAGCTCTTTAGCTAAGTGATGTTGTATTGCTAATTATTGTGCTCCGGTGAAACTTAAAAAGAAACTGTACTTTTTGTACTTTCACTTCCACGACGATAGTTCTCTCATGGGCGGAGTGATTGGGTCCGCAGAAGCAGTAGCGTGCCATTTTCTCTGTTCATATAAGCACGGGAACGGGGTAGGACTGTGGTGATGGCCCGGGTGCCGTCTCTCAACTCCGCTCGCGGTATCCTCAATGTGCCATTTGCGTTGATACCAAGGTACTGCAGCGAAACACGTACACAGCTGTAGGGAAACACCAGGTGTGGGAGGGTACAGACAAGTAGCGCGTTTAGCCTCGGCGTAGGCGTGTTGCTGACTGCGCTGCAGCGCGGGAGGAGTATGGAGTTGCCACTCGGGTATACTACCCTTCAATTTCCGTTCTTGCTTGACCGGAGAAAGTTGCATGCTACTGCAGTTGCAGACCCATAAACCTGACGCATGGCAAGGGAAAAATCCTTGGAAGTGAGTGTGCAGTTGGTGTTCAGCTCCTATAGACCTTCCGCATCAGTTCATTCGGGGTTCAAATTAGACTTTGCCTTTTATTCAGGCAAATACACATCGGCTGATAGAGGTTTTTACCTGAAGCGCTACGAGGTTCGAAATATCGCTGATAAACTGCGGAAACAAGGACTGATATCACCAAAAGAAAGAGAATTTGTGAGTTTTGTAAGTAGATACATTATTACAAAATTATATGGTTACGAGTGCGGAGCGTTACAAGCGAATGGCAGTGAGTGCGACCTTCTCTTTCCTTTTTTCTTCCTCCATCCTTCTTTTCCTTCCTTCCTTCTCTGATCCCTCCTCCTTTACCTTCTCCCTTCAACTACTGGACTGGTAGATGCCTCGAGAAAATACCCCTGGACCTCGCAGCGAGAGCATGTCCCGTTAACAACAGCCCTGTAACCGATCAACTCTTTCTGTGCCTGTGTCTATCTGATCAACCATCCAGGGAAGCCCCCGCTAGAGTTCGGGATACAGCTGGGAAGACTGGGAAGTAGCGCACCCTGAGGTAGCCATGGGTACAAGAATACTCGCGGTCAAGTAAAAGAGGGTGTGAGGCGTTAATTTGACGTTGTCACGAGGTGCACAAACTAGCAGAGTATTTGATAGCTGGCTGACACTTTGCAGCACTGCCACGATTAATCAACTAGATCGTGGTGCGAATGTCGCTTTACATGACACGCTTGCAACTATTCTTTCGTCGTTTTCACCACATTATTTAACTGGGGCCACTTATACTTTATGACAATGAAGTATGAGAGAAGAGTTAGTCGTTAAAACGAGCGTCTTAAAGGCAGTTGGCACGATAAATCCCCAAAGACGAGTAGGATTTATATGCCTGGCAGGGCGGATTTCCGCGACCCTGAGCAGGCCCTGCGTAGCGGTTTTTCCCACGGAGGTACCCTTATAAGGGTCCTATCAAGCTACAACTTTCCGACCCAAACGCCTACCACGCCCGCCCGCCCACAAATGGACGACCTTACCAGATGCTCGTTTTGCTTCATTTGCTATTTAAAATATGAAGCGAAGGGATTGGTATGAAGCGGCTGCGGTGCTGAATGGATATATGAGTACATACATGCAGCCGCACCTACCGGAGCGGTTATTTGCAATACGCCTACGGGAAAACTCGTCCGAAATCGCTTCTCAGAACGAAGGCTTTTCTTCGCAGTTTTGGACCGTTTCACTTCGTTTTTTCGCCATTTTCCCCACTAAATAGCGCCCTG